TAGTGGGAGCGGGGAGGAAACATTTAGGAACTAGGGGAAAGTTGTATTTCTCATCGTTGTTACATCGCACCCTGACTGGCTCATCTCCTCCCCGAGACACTTACATCTTTTAATGCTAAAAATAAATTTTGTCATTGTCAAAGTTAATGTCTACCCCTTAACCAAAAGCAACACATCTGTGACATGACAAGTAGAATTGATCTGGGAGGTCTGTGTGAAAGCAGGAACTGTGGCTGCACTAGGAGGGGAACTGGGGTGTCTCAGGGACCCAGTTAGGACAACACCACTTTGGGACCATATAAATGAAAAGGCAAACATGCCGTGCATCCTCAAATATGCTGTTGGTACTCGTGCATAAGCCAAGTTTTTCAGCACATTTTTAATGCTGTTTTTGTGGTAAAATTAGGTGCCTCAGCTGATATTCAGGTCGGCTTATACTCGAGTATGTACGGTGAGTAAAATTTGAAGTCTATGAGTTTTCGATTTAAAGATCCCTTTCCACCAATCCTATTTCTTACCCACCTGTACTCCGCAATTCAAACAATATTCCCTTTTCGTAAATTCTGCTGCCATCCCTCTTTTAGGATCATGAGCATAGTTACTAAGACACTTTAGCCATTAATGCCTGTTAATTGTGCCCGTAAGCTATAATGAAGAGTTTAAAGCACTTTTATATAATTATAGCTTATCAGAAACAATTGACTGCATTAAATGAGCCTTTTATGTAAATCCACATAATTATCAATTTAGGGGTTCTGGAGCTATATTATATTGTACTTTTTCTGAGAAAAGACCTACATGGAAGTTTCACAGATATTTGGACTTGAAGAGAAAGTTTACTCAGAAGAATTTAAGGCAGGTATTTAATATATATATATATGTGTCATTTTTCAGAAATGTGTTTATAGAACAGCATAGCTTTAAGCATTTCTGTTGTAGGATAAGGAGCCCTCTTGGTTTAATGGTTACATATTGGGCTGAAACACTCATGGTTGGCAGTTCGAAACCACCAGCAGGGCCTACGATAAGCAGTTACAGTCTGAGAAACTCACAGGAGCTGACATGAGTCAGTATTGACTTGATAGTAGTGTTTGATCAGCAAGTTGTAGGATATGGCAAACCGTGTTTGCAAGTTTTTCCTAAGCTTTGGCCTTCGGCAGGGCATCTGAATGGAGGCAGGATATAGGATATGGATCTGCCTACAAGGCACACACAGAAAGACAACATGTTTGCTCAGGAAGACAGGTTGATAGCCCTTCCTGGTAATAGTCAGCATGTCTGGTTTTAATATAGCCTGGTTGGTTATCAAATGTTACCAAGTACCATCAAGATCAAAGCTTCTTTAATAAGCATTTGTCTAAATTCTAGCATGTGTTTTATCCTTTAAAAGATTATGCCTTTTTAATCTTTGGAAAGGTCAGTTAAATCACAAGACCAGAAGCAGCACCCTGGTGGATGACCCTACTTCATGCATAAGCCCACTCCTTAACAGAAATTCTCAGGAAACCCCATGGGGTCTTCTGGGACCACCAGACCACAGAAACGTCAAGAGCAGGTTCTGCAACATGGGATTCCCCTGAACTTCTGACAATGTGGAGTGCATTGTGGCCTTTATGGGCATTTAGCAAAGGTCACTAGCTGACTGATATGTGGCTAGATGCCAGAGGGCCTGGTATCTCCTTAGAGGAAAAACAACTTAAAGGAATATTCCCAAACACCTGAGAGCATTTCTGCCCGGGATGCGCTATTGTGAGAGAAGTTACGAGGTAAATACCTGGGGGGGAATCAGCTGATCAGCTCTTGGGGCACATGGACAATTCAATCTTCTGGGGAGAGTTTGTTGGAGAAATTTAGGGAACTCAGTATATCTGTAAGCTAACGATGTATTGGCATGCAAGTTCCAGTAGGAGTTTCGTTAGAGAGATGGGGTGGAGGAGAAATGAAGACCCAGTGACAAAGAAGGCTGGATGTAAATGATAGACACATCTGTATTTTCATCAGTCATAAATGTATATATATATACCTATATGTAGTTATTTGATATGGGTTCTTTGGACGTTACTATGTGCTAGGCATTGTAGAAGGGACTTTTCACACATTACTCCCCCCACTAAATTTTATATTTTGTTCCGGTTGAGAACATCTATATCAAAACATAAGCCAAGTCAGCAGTTGATATGTACGCTATAGTGACATGAGTGACAATCTTCGACTTGTGCAGTCATTCTCACCCTCCTTTCTTAAAGTTTTCCCTCATTTCCCTCATTCATTAATAGAAACTCACTGCCCTCTATGGTTCCTATATCATCGTTTGCGTTGCAGTTGTCAATGGGAGCCTCTGTAGAAAGTTCTTACGGGAGTGTAATGCTCAAGACAGACCTTTTTTTTTAAACTAGTTAAACTAAACTAGCTTTAAGAAGGTGAGTTAGTTAATTGTGCCAGCCTGGCCGATAATCACATGTGGTGCTGGTTGAAAGGCGGAGGGATAAGTGGGTGGTGAAGCCTCGCCTTTCTAGTTCTCGGGTCTCTTGTTTTGTGATGGTTGTATCGGGTGCAGCTGCCTTAGCAGTTCCCTGCTTCAGCTTGCAAGATGGACTTCCTACAAGACATCCCCAAGGAGAAGCCGCATGGATCTATCCCGATGCAGGCCTGGGTGCTGGAGCAGCCATGTGGAGACCCCTGCCAGTGCTGAGATGCTTACACGTTCACTGACTCAGCTTTCCTCCTGCAGTTGGCATCATTGCCTCTGTTTTGTGAGGTGAAGGACTTTGTGGACTGGTGTTGGGTTAATGGGTTAATGTTGGACTTGTGGGCTTGGGCAGCATTGGGTTGGGGTGTTTTCGTGATGCACATTTTCTTTGCATAAAACTCTCTCTTATACATGAGTCGCCGTGGATTTGTTTCTCCAAAGTACCTAGACTAATACAGAAGGTTTCAGGAGAGAATCTGGGGTAAAGGTGATCTGAGGGGAATAAATCAGGGGTTCTTCTGCCCTCGTGGCTCCTGAATGTCTAGAGTTTATGAGCATTTGAAAATCTGTCCTGCATCTTTCGCCTTTTGGTTGGCATTCCTGGATGGAATCTTTGATGGATGTATTCCCCATCCACTTCCGTTGGCATAGTGATAAGGCACTTAACACGCATACCATAACCTCCTCCTATCCTGACTCTCCTTCGTCCTCTGTTGCTGCAGGTGAATAGAAGCCACTTGTATCTTAGACAGCTGCTTTTAATACTTCATAATCCTATACAAGAGGAAACGTTGTCCTTTTTTTAGGGAATGGGGAAACTGAAGTCAGGGAGGTGAGCTAAATTGACTAATGTCACACAACTAGAATGCTATGAAACCTGAATTTAGGATGCTATAGCTTTTTGTCGTGAATGCTCATAAGACGTGTTAGTCCGAAAAAGCAATTGGGACAAGGGTCTGGGGGTTGGAGGCGAAGACCCTTTCTTTCACCTGAACTCTTCTCCTGATTTGGGATGGCGGAAAGCCATTATGCATGATGTTTCCGCCCATCATGCACTGAGGAGGCACACAAAAAGGAACTTTGCCTTGGGTTAGATGGTGGAACTTGCACTGACTGTCGATGATAATGTAGATTTGGGGAAAAGAAAGACAAATTCAACAAAATGGCTTTCTGTGCTTTGTGCTTTGTGCGTAGCTGGAGAATGCCATGGGCCTCTGTCCTCTACTGTCCCAGGCACTTAGGAGCTTCACTTCAAGTCTTTGAGATTCCGTGCTCTGCTCCCTCAAAGATAGTTTAAGTGGAATAAATACATCTTAGTTACTTACTGCCTTTGATCACTTAACTTTTTCGCTAGGATTTTCTTTCTTCTAGAAAAGAATCGATTTATGACTACATCTTCAGATGCTAATAGTCAATAAATTATCTAATGTCTATTAGCAGGGAAGGTGGTAAAATAGATATTTGTGAGTTGAGCTAGAATTACTAAAGTTCCTATTCAGATCATTATACCTGATTTGCTTTTAAAAACATGCAAGTCATTCTAAAATGTTTGTTCTTGTTTTTCTAGATGCAATCTTCCTCCTTTGTCAAGCGAATACACTAAAGATGTTGGGACCAAAAGTCATCTCGTGACAGCTAATCCCAGCATAATTCGGCAAAAGTAAGAGTTAATCACTTCTCTTTGAGGGAAACTAACGAAGTGCAGTCTGCATCACTGGGAGGCAGTGAGCATAAGTCAGCTTGGGGAGTAAAGAAGAAAACCATCTCGATAGGCAAGAAGGGTGAAGGAGGGAATTGTAAATAAACTAGACTGGATTATGGGAATACAACCAGTATTTCACGTTTGCTTTGTGATTATGTTTCTTGTCCTTTGACATGGTAGAAATAACATGAGAAGCAATTGTTTTGCTCTAAAAAGCAACACTATAGGCTATTTACTTGTTACTACTACTTTCCAATTTGTTGACTTCAGTTCCAACTCACTAATTGGCATTTGTGGGCTGAATTACTATCAAGAATGAAAACAAAAGAATGACCATTCTACTGCATATATATGCATTAAAATAGCAACATTGCCATCAAGTTATTGGATGTGTTTATATATGCTATATTCTGCTATTCTATTCTGTCATACTATATTGTACTGAATCAGTTTGAGGGAAGCAATTGGAAAACTCTTGCTGTAACATAGATCCCAGAAACCTTAGCAGCTGCTCGAGAGACGCTGGGGGTCAGCCTCAGCTGATGAAGCTCCATCAAGAAGCTAGTAGTTATTTCTCCAAGGACTATTGTCGAGAATGCCTCCGTTTCTGTGAAAAGAGGAGCCAAGTTTTGCTTCAAACCTTGTGACGTGCCTAGAAATTAAGGGTGAAATATCAAACCATTGTGGGTTTAGAGACTTGTCTTTTAAGGAAGTCTTATCCAAAGAGAACAACACAGGTGTGTCACTTTGCAAGTAATTCCCCATTACTTATTTGAGTTCACAAGTATATATTCCCCAAATAGATATGTATGAATGAAAGACATTGATTTTCATTTTAATTGATGTGGTAAAAATTACTCTCGCAAAATGTGCCATTTACTCTGTCCCAGGAATAATACTGTTTCTCATACCGAAAACAATATTGTGTTGTGGTTTTTTAAAACCTTTGAAATTTTTGTCAACTTCTTGGGTGAAAAATTATATATAATTTTCAGTTATTTTATTTTTAAAGATCCATGGAAGGAAAAGACCGCAAATTTATTGCGTAAAATAGGTTAAATTTAGATTGAATGATTAGTTTAGTTTAGTTTAATAATTTAGTTTAATGATATGTGAAAAGACTCGAAGGAAGCATTTGCTGCATGAGTAGCAAACACAGACTCAATATCCAGAATATAAATAATCATTATATGTTAATAAGAAATCGTAGTAAAAGGAGAAACACAAACAGGTGACTCACAGAAGAAACTCAAGTAGTAGTACATTTTAGCATCTTCAAACAGCTAGCAATATATGTAAACAGTGTTTGATAAAGTGCACACATTTGTATGTGGGATGAAAATCTAGATGATGGTGTTATGCTATAATGGCACACTGAAATGGAAGGAACACAATGGAAATAGGAGAGGTATTAGGTGTTTCTATATTATGAAATGATCCTATTTATTGTGCAATCCACTCAGATCTGTAGGCTTCTTGGAAGCGGTGCAAGACCAAGGAAGCAGCAGTGTCTTATACTTTTATGCCACTTACAAGTAAGTTCATTGCACAAAGACACCCACTGCTATGGATTTGGTTTCAGCAGGGTTTCTGATCTAATATCAGCTTGCAAATATTTGTCTTCGTATACTGTCTACCTTTTCCTGCTTAGAAAAACATTACAGTAACATGGGCAGATACAACATAACAGTTTTAACGTAATAGTATAATGATGCTAATAATGTTTAATGCAGTTCGCAAAGCAGTTCTTGTTTGTTATTAAGAATCCTCAATAGGCGTTGGGTTGTTGAATGGGCTTGTAACTATACACGTTAAACCCACTGCCGTCGAATCTCTTCGGACTCACAGCTACCAGATATAGCTGCCCTGAGACTGTACATCCGCAGGGGAGTGCATGGCCTTGTGTTTCTCCCACAGAGCAGCTGGTGGGTTTGAACCACCAATCTTTTGGCTAAGAGCCCAGTGCCAAACTCACAGCACAACCAGGGTTCCTTGTGAAGAAAATTGACTGTGGAAAGGCTGCCCGTCAAAGCTTGGATTCTCATGAAGATAACCAATGAGAGTTCAGAAATATTCACTACAAAATTAGAGAATCTGAAAAAAGCACTGTGCTGGGGACTCAGACCATAATCTAGGGTAGCGGTTCTCAACCTGTGGGTTGTGACCCCTTTGAGGGTCAAACAACCATTTCAGAGGGGTCACCCAATTCATAACAGTACTAAAATAACAGTTATGAAATAGGAACAAAAATAATTTCATGGTTGGGGTCACCACAACATGAGGAACTGTGTAAAGGGTGGCGGCATTAGGAAGGTTGAGAACCACTGCTCTAGGGGGACGTTAAGGTCAATTAGCCTCGTATAGTTCACAAAGAAAATATTTCACATCCTGCTTTAGTGAGTAGGGCTTTGGTGACTGGGGTTTTAAAAGTTTCTAAGGTGCAGCTGTTGGTTTCTCCCCATCTGAGAGAGAACAGTGATGGACATCAGAAGGCACATGGACGGAATGAACGCAACGGACTGACAGACGACATGAAACACAGTCTCCTGACCCGGAGCAAAGAACTTGATGGTTCCCAGCTGCCACTACCAATTACCCTGAATAGGAGCACCTCAGAAAGCCTGGAGAGAGTGGGAGAGTCTGGATTAGAGCTGAGCAATCACGGAAGGAGTCCGGTTGCCGGATGATGGAGACCGCTGAAACAGGTTACTGGATGATGGAGACTGCTGAAACTCCGGACTACGCTCCTTAGTCCCGCTTCAGGCTTGGAAAGGCGCTCAGTTGGAAAATCTGGAAAAGCACTGTGCTTGGGGACTAACATTAGACGTTAACTAACTAACTAACTAACTAACTAACTAACTAACTAACTAACTAACTAACTAACTTTAATTAAACATTAAAAGAGCTATATGGGAATAGCTGCAACCCCGGTACTGTAGTTGGTTATAAACTGGGCTGCTAACTGCAAGGTCAGCGATTTGAAACCACCAGCTGCCCTGCAGGAGAAATAAGAGGCTCCCTGTGTTTAGTCCACAAAGTTACAGTGCGGGGAAACGCAGAGAGGCTATTCTCCTCTGTCTTACAGGGTCACTGTGAGTCAAAATAGACTTGATTGCAGTGATTTTTTTGGTTTTGAAATAGGGGAACCATGACATTAAGGAGATGCATGCACCTTAAAATAATTAACCGCTTAGGATGAAAAGGGCAGCATGAACCCCAGCAAAGTTCAGGAGGGTTAGTAAAGGAGGAAATGGCAATGAAGCGAAACAAAATGTGTTTGTCTCGCTGAATGGACATCTGCTCTGTAGCACCTCACCCAATGTACAATAAAAAGTGTTTAAGAAATAAAATCAGTAAAAAAATAAGAGGCTTGAAAACAATTAGCTGTATGTGAAAGGCACACATAATTGTGATAGTAAAAGTAAGGTTGGGGGGGCAGTATTTATTGTTGCATGTAAGATAAATTCTTAGAAAGAGCTTTACTCCGGCAATCCTTTGTTAGAACAACTTCTTTAAAGTGCATTCTACTTGATAGTTCCTAGAACAACAAAATATCAGTTACAGGGTCTGAGACACGATGAGGCTTTACCCTTCATCTTCGTATTGCACTTCTGTGGACTAGGAAAAGAAAGGTTGATCTAACGTGTAGTGGAGACTGTTGGATTTTGAATTTCAGTTTTAAATTTATATTTTATTATTTCAACAGTTTTATTGGCACGAACATAGCACGCAATTTTCAGTCATGTAAAGGTAGTCAAAAGATTTGTGCAATCATTACCACAGTTAGTATTGGAACATTTTCTTCATGTTTGTACTCATTATTCATTCTTCCTTTCTCCTCAACTCTGCCTGCTATAACCCTATGGAACTGTTTGTTAACCTAGTGACTCTCTCTATAGAGCTACCTATCTGGGGTTTCATGCAAAGAAAATCATGCCCCAAAATGACAACAAAATAAAACACAGAAAAACTTCAGTTTAAAATAAAGTAGAAAATAATACAATTTGGAACAAAATGGATCAAAAGAGAAAACAAATGATAAGATGATAATTTTTAACAAATGATAAGATGTTAATTTTACATTTGCAAAAAATTCACTTCCAGTGAAGTCTGTCTGGAAGCAAGGCTATTCACATCTCTGGCCAATGGAATTCCACGGATCCTTCATCCCAGTGAGCACTCTGAAAATACAATGTGGCTTTCACTAGTCTCCATAGCTTCCTGCAAAGCCGAGTGTGCAGAATGGAATACCATTCCATGCGCTAATCTTGGATGTTATTATTGACCATATTTGGAGTACTCAAAGAAGCTAGTGTGCTGCTTCTGTGCAGACTTAGCTGATACCTCATCAAACCCATTGCTATTGCCCGCCCTTTGTTCGCTCTGGATTTTGTAGGTGGGCTTTAGAAAGGGTTTTGTAGGTGGGGTCTAGAAAGGGTTTTGTAGGTGGGGTCTAGAAAGGGTTTTGTAGGTGAGGTTTAGTTAGCATTTTGTAGGTGGGGTCTAGAAAGGGTTTTGTAGGTGAGGTTTAGTTAGCATTTTGTAGGTGGGGTTTAGAAAGGGTTTTGTAGGTGGGGTTTAGTTAGGATTTTGTAGGTGGGGTTTAGTAAGGGTTTTGTAGGTGGGGTTTAGTAAGGATTCATTTATGGCATTTCCCTCCTTGAGCATGCCCCCTCTAACCCATCGATCTTCAAACATTTTTGCTCAAATACCATTTCAATGAATTTTTAAACTTCATCTTAGCTCCTGGATGCTTTTTAAGTTGACATATTTTCCTTTGGGGGAGCATTAAATAAAAGTGGTTTATTTTATAATCTCTGAGGATGGAGGAAAGACCCAAAGGCTGAGAGTTGGATCCAAATTGGATCTGAGCAACAGAAGAGTATGGAATTATTAGAATGAGCCAAAAGAAGAGAGAAGGGGTAGCGATGAGAGAGGAGTCAACAGGCAGTGTAGTA